TGTGGACTCAAGTATGGCAATGTAGGTTCTGCACCAAGCTTCTGACCTATACACACACACGCACGCACACACACATATTAGGTCAATTAAGTACATGCGAATAATGAGAAAAAAACCCGAAAAATCGGTAAGAAAAAGAGAATGGAAGAAAGCCTAACTGATATAGTCAGGAATGGTGAGGCCATTGGAGAAACGGCCGGTGGGTCGACGGGTGGGATAGTCAATGCCGTAAGGAGGAGAGTCGGCACGAGCACTGGTGGCTAAGTAGTTATTGTTGCCATTGTCGACCAGTGAGTCTCCAAACACAAAAAAGGCACGAGCCTCAGCACCACAACTCAACATTCCCAACGCCATGACCACACCAAAAATGGCCAATGAGCTAGCCATGGAATTGGCTTTTGACTTGTTGGGAGTAACCTAACGAAGAAAATAGAAAGGAGTTTGGACTAGATCTTTTCTTATGATTGGACAGAGATCACAGTGTTTGTGAGGAAATTTGAATTGATGAGAGGGGGGTTATATAGAGGTAGGGGTGTTTGACAATTGGAGCAAAATCTTAGGCCCACTTGTACAAAAGCAAAGCTATATTGTAGTTTGTGTTCAGGACAATGCCTTGTATGGTTGGCAATGCAAAAGAAAAATAAAAGCTAAGTTTGAAATTTCTGCTTCCTGTTCTAGTGATCAATTGAAGTGGCTTTTCGACCAAGATTTCGTAAATTTGGCCAGTATTATTTTGGCTTTAGGTTAATCTCAGAAATGAGAAAAATTTGGTGTAATTGTCAGTTGGGTCAGGCTCGTCAAAGTATGCCCTTGAATTGGAGAGAGACTACTACACGATCTGTTACTATAAAGATATTCAAAACCATCAATGCATTAGTGCGTACGTATAGAAAGTTAAAAATTCATTACAAAGCGTTATTGATTTAGAATCTACCATAGTAGCTGGTGTAGACAAGTCATGCTCCTACAACTAAGGGTAAATACACACTATTATATCCATAGCCTGACCAGTGTTTTCGACACGACCATATACCTGATGACACAACAGATTTCTAGAAAAGCTAGAGGACGCTTGCATCAAATCTATCAGATGTATAATAGTTAAAACAACTTCAATTAAACTTGCATATACGCTATTCAAGTTTGTTCTCTAGCTCACCTTCAACCCCATTTTTACAGTTTTTGCTTTTCAAACCTTGTGTGCTAAAGGTCTAGTAGTGTTGGAAGGGATCAAATTAACCTCCTGCAGATAAATTGTTAAAGCTAATTGAAAATATGAGGAGTAATTCAACCTCTTATAACTCCTTACAATAAGGTTTTTCCTTTCACAGATGTGAGACTCTTTTACATTCAAATCCTCACACGCCCTTTCAAGCCAAACACGTGAACAACAGGAATTGGTTGATGTGGAGCATGTGTGGCCGTTAGGCTTCACACGTGTAACAACCTACTCTGATACCTGAAGGAAAGTTGGGGTTCCACCTTAAACCAATTGGCAATGTTGGGAGTAGCCCAACTTCTTATAAGCTCTTGCAAGGTTTCTCTTTTCACCGATGTGAGACTATTTTACCTCCACATCCTCACATGCTCCCTTGCATGTGGCAACATTTTCAAGCCAAATGCTTGGCAACACAAATTGAGTAACGTGGAGTAAGTGTGGTATTTGGGCTTTACACGTGGGCCAACATGTTCTAGTACTAGGAAGAAAGTTGGAATTCCACCATAAAATCAATTTGACAATATAAAAAGTAACTCAACCTTTTATAAACCCTTGCAAAATTTCTAGTCTTACCGATGATAAAACATCAAATTAATATGACAGCAATTTCACATACAAGTAAACGGGACAGGTGGTGGTCAATTATTTGTGAAGAAATTTCCACGCTCTTGAATGACATTTCTTCTTAAAACTTTGCTTGTGACAATTACCATGCCAACTTCGCTATATATAAATGATAATTCAAATTTGGTGCCAGTAAATTAATGATTATGGCTATTGGCTTTTAGTCCTTTCCCAAAAGAAGTAGACCTTATGGTACGTACCCTTCTTAGCCATTGGTGCGTTACTTAAGGCTTAGTGGGTAGTCTAAAAACAAAAATAGGCTTCTCCTCAAAGATAGCTTGCTTACTTAATGCTTGCGCTAAGGATTGACCATGCATCCTTGGTTATAATTTAATTAGAAGCCATAGAATATAAGAAGCACCTATGAATATAACTTAACAGATTTAACTTTTTCACTCCCAGCAGTTTTGCTAACCTATAAAAACTGGGCATGTGACCAAAACTAATTGTTACCATATAAATGGGTCAATTATTTAGTCAACATAGTTCGTAGATATTTGATTGCAAAACCAACTACTCTCACAGCTCCTAAATCCTCTGCTAATCATTCCCAATTTCAAATCATTATGGCCCTGAAAAAGTTGTTTAGAATAATTATTGGTGATTGGAATGTGATTGAAACCCTAGATTCAATACAAAAGTATAGCTGCAAGCCTACGTGCTTTAACATAATTTCTCTACGAAGGAAATTGAGGTTTTATCATAAAATCAGTTGGCAATATAAAGATTGAGAATAGTCCAACTCTCTAGCTATAAGGACATGCAAGCTTTAGTAAACTTCTGATATAAGATTTCTTCACATTCTCACACACCCTCTCACGTGTGATGAATGTTCAAGTCTAACATGTAGGCATCACAGATTGGAGGACGTAAAGCACTTGTGTCGTTGGGCTTTACACGGTTCCACCAAAATACTATTAGTATTATGGGGAGTAGTCAAACTTTTTATATGTCCTTATAAGGTTTGGTCCTTTCTTGATGTAGGAGTTTTGCCTTTCACTGCATCCAGTTGAGTTGAGAAGGCGAAGAATTTGCATGAAGCAATATATATTTCTCGTTCTTGTCATGCATATGTCACGGTGTATTGTACGTTTCTCTTGCCGAGAAGATACTTTATAACACAAACGCGTTCTACTACTTCTTAGAATTGTATTTGGGGCCCCAGAATTTACTCGTCAAAATTATTGGTAAGTCCAGAGCAACATGCATGAAATAATAGTCGAGCTGAGGGAGCCTTCATAATCCCAACTACTACACAACAACATCGTTCGTACGAAATAACTTTGCTGGGAACGGTTCAACTAACAAAAAGAAAAGCCTTAGCTTTCCCGAGGGTTGCAAGTTTTATTCAACTCTTTTTCTCTCAACCAACTTTTGAGGCTCTTTAATTTCCCCCAGTGCATGGCGCTCGAAACTCATGCCGGCCCTTGAAAGGAAACTTGCAGCGCAATTAAGAACAAAAAAAGATCAAAAGTGACAAGCACATTGAACTTAAGGTAAATACATTGAACTTAATTATAGGTTTCTTTTGTAGCAAGCACCGAGCGATATTGAAGGGGGGAAAAATCGAACATACAACATTGATGTATAGGTATATAACATACGCTCTTTAGCCCTAGTTTGGAGAAGGTATAGGTTATAAGCCATAATGTTAGAGAACATAAGCTAAATACAATGAACCTAATTGCACTTTAGTCTTCTTTTGTTACAAGCATCAAGCGATAATATGGAAGGGGAAATGTCGAACACACATCGATGTATAGGTAAATGTTCTTTAAGGGAAGGATCCTATACTTTTCAAAAAATGAGGATTAGTTGTCAAACCCACTCCACGTTGAACTTCAACTATCCAAACCGCCTATTTTGTAAGTCTCGATTTATAGATCATCCTTGCAAAAATTCAATTTAATCCAAAATCATTTGCCTATTTAATTATCACGATGAAATTTCATTGCTTCTCATAAAACAAAGTGTTCGTTAATTTCTTTGAACTCAATTAGATGTCTCAAATATTTCTGGTTTGACTAATAATTTGCAAGAATGATATAAGAGGTGCAACTTGAAAAATAGATGGTTTAGATTGTTGAAGTTCGATATGGTGTGAGCCTTACAACTCACCCCATTATTAAAAAAAATAAAGATCCCCTTAAAGCCTCCTACATATACTAATACATATTATATGGTGTGTAACACATTTGGAGGCCAAGTTAATGGAGGTGAAGAGATGCGTTCATATCAGACGTCAGGCTGACATCTGCCCTATACCAAATTTATTTCAGTGTTCATACGTCCATACTCCATAGCTGTGGAGTCGTCCCTTAATAAGTTTGTGATATTTAGAGAGTGATGCTATACTTCTTATATATTTTGTTGATTTATATCGTTTGATCTTTTTTATGTTATTTAATCTGACGGTTGAAAATTAAAAAGAATGTATGAGAGGTAAGAAACGATGTGTGAATACCATTACTCTACTTAAAATATCGTCCGTGATGTACCATTATACTAAATTATAACATGTGTACTTGTTCTTAACATTTGTTAAGTTTATTAGGGTTTGCTCCCAATAACAGGTTGTTTCTCAACCGATCTATTTTTTCAGGTAAAAAATTAATTTCTCTGCGACTGGCTTGATTGTTTCCTAAAATCAAGTTAGAAATCTAAGCCAAAAAACAGTTAGAAAAATTGAATAAAATTGAGCCTTAAAAAACGATAGCTATGGACTTCTTTAGGTGTGTTGAGCAGAAGATTTAGTACCAGTTTAGTACTGTTTAAATTTTTTAAAAGAGGGAATGAAAAAAAAGTTGGGCTCAATATTTTCCATCACAGCTATGATTTCACAATTTAGGCCTATTGGGCAGTCATATAGTGCTTCACTTTAACATGTCGGCCCTTTAGTTTTGGGCCTTGAATGTTTGAGACTGTTGGAGTAAATCTGTTTTCGTCCTTAGAACTTGAAGTATTTGTTTTGTTTTTGTCGACTAGAAACTTTACTCTCGACAATTTATCGGGCGCGGGGGAGGAGGTTTGAACTTAGAATCTATTTCAAATATTCAAAAGAGAATTTTTATTAGACTAATAGTCAGTTGGTCATCTAAGATGAGACATGGTTGGTAACAAAATACGATGTTTGAATTTAAGGCTTACGACAAGAGAGTGAAGGAATAAAACAAAGACGAAGCTAATTAAGCTTGAAATTATTAAATACACACAAACCAATGAAAACAAAATTACAGTATTACACTAGCGTTTTCCAGGACATAAGGAAAATAATACTAAATCAGCAATACTAACGAAGACAAATTGAGGAAATTATGATAATCTTAAGTTAAAAAACAATCACACCCCTTGTAGTTCTAGTTATTTAACTAGTACGTACTTCTAGGTCTTAGTGTCCAAGGCCAAAATAGTGCTGAGGTTCATTGGATTCATGTACTTGTTGGACCCGGTAAGGATTTGCTGTACAATAATTCTGTTTGCCTTCTCAGAAGGATGGAAAGGATCCCAAAATGCGTACAAATCTCTGTTTGGGCACAAGTTGGAGGCAAATGTGCAGAGTCCAATCCCATTGTAGGGTCCTTGGCCACAGCAAGCTATCTTTGAAGTAACAAATCCTGCAAAACAAACACCAGAAAACATTAATCTCGAGAGGGGGAGTCGGAACCCTAAACCCCAAACACATGCTAGACCTTGTGTGCAGATATGAATGCTCTCAACCAACTAAGTTATGAGCTCCTTCAAAGTTTTAGACATGCGGACCATAATGTTGTTAGATGTTATGCAACTTATTAAATCTACGCACCATAAGCTTGAGGATCGGAGACAAAATCCATGTGCATTTCATATGCATTTGCAGCAACAAATGCATCTGAGCCAAATTGGCTATTCAGGCTGTTGATCATATCGACTAGTTGTGGGTTGAACAAGGAGGCCGCTCGCTGCAGCTCCACTGCGCATTCGCCGTTCGTGCTGTGCTGAGCCAACTCTGCAGGAACACACCCTAGTGGCCCTGTGCCTGTCACCAAAACCTTACGAGCTCCTAATTCATACAGCCTCTGCATTTGAAAATATGAAGTAAAAACATCATATTGTAGAAAGCATGTAGAGTTTGAAACATATTGACCTAGCCAGTGACATAACAAGGAATTATTCATGTAAATTAGTGAAGGCAAAAATGTTCGAACGTATGTAAGACAAGAGGAGGGACTTGTCATCTTACTTCTTTGGTCTATTTCTTAAGAGGTGTGATATCCACACACCCCATTTTACTTCTCACACACCCTTCTAATTTTCGACCGTCGGATCGGATAAATTGAAGAAGATCAACGGATATAAATTAATAAGGGTGTGTGAGAAGTAATTTGAGGTGTGTGGATAGCACACCCCTTTCTTAATAGTTTAAGTTCCCCCACTTATTTGTTAATTTGTTAGGTGTGGTGTCGAACTATACTATCCTTGATGAAATGTGTTAACTTGGATTGTTAACAAGTAAACAACTTCTTTAAGCTAACGATGGTTTGTCTAATAAAAGTGAACATTCTGATGTATATTATTATTTTGTTCCCAGCAAGAGACTTGAATGCAGGCTGATAGTCGTCATAAGTGCTTTTGGGCAAAACACATTAATGAAAATGTCATATTGCTTGCTGATCACACCAACCAAACCAAACCTGTCCTCCAAATCTTCTGAATACTCCATGCTTACCCAATGGTCACATCACCCATTACTCCTCTTATCTATCCTAATTAACTTTCTTGTGACCATTTCTCTAGGTACATTCATATGGGAGTCATGTTTTTTATGTCACCAAATTAGTCACATCCCTTTAAATTTCTTATCAGAATTTAAGATTAAAACATTAAAATCACATACATTATTATTAAATCTTAATATCACATCCCATAGTGAGTGACTGTATTTTTAAATTACTTGGTAGTTGGAGAACATTTTTTATGCATACCATGTTACTTAAATAATGAAAAGGATAAGATGCTAAAGTAATAATAGCGAGTGCATAGTGCAACTATTAGCAGTAACAAAAACAATGACGGAAACATAATTGACGTACACTTTATAAAAGTCGTCATTGACATATATAGTTACCTCCAGAACTTTGCGGTACTCGGAGATAAGGTAGACAACATAGTCCGGGAGAGAGAATTGGCGAGATCTAGCAGAGAAGGGCAACAAGTAGTAGTTGTTGACAAAATCATTGCCTCCGAGGGTAATCAGATAAAGTGCTTCGTTGACAAGTCGTTGAGCCTGCTCAGGTCCAACTAAAGCACTCACTCTGGTCTGGTATTGCTGAAAGTATTCCAACTGTTTGTAGATTCGGATTATGTTGAGCTGCAAAATGTAGCATTTTTGGACATTGCTTAGATTAGAAGGTCTGCTTTTTAATTGTTTATGGTAATTTAAAAGTAAAAACGCAAAAAATAAAATGTAATTTGCATACTTTAATAGTTTAATCGTACAATATTACCATCAATTATATATAAAGAGTGGACTACTCCTTCTCTTACCAGAAACTTACCTCACACTTAGGATTACACTACGGCGGTATCCCAAATTAACCATGAACAGTCATGTACAAGATTTAACATTCTGCATAATAGTGTCATTAGTTGGAATACCGTCATTGTAGTGGGCGCATGCTAGATAGAGACAACTAATATAATATGTTTAAAGAGGACGTACAAATTGGATTCCAGTGTCGTTGAGAATTCCAATCCCGGCAGAAGCAAAGTTGGCACCAACAAGTAGGTTTTGTCCAGTGAGTTGTGGGCTCAAGTAGGGCAACGTGGGTTCTGAGCCAATTTGCTCACCTGAAAATATGAAAATAATGCATAAATATGTTACAACAAATATATAATCACTAAGCTATAGCCAAATAAAATGTAACAAAAGACATATAATACAAAATGCACGTAAGAACCGTACTGATAAGATCTGGTATGTTAAGGCCATTCGAGAAACGACCGGTGGGTCGGTGAGTAGGATAATCTATGCCGTAAGGGTAGGAGTCGGCCCTGGCAGTGGTGGCCAAGTAGTCGTTGTTTCCGCTGTCCACCAACGAATCTCCAAACACGAAAAAAGCCCGTGCCTCTGCTTGACGGCCAGCACAAGCAGCAAGCAGACCTAGAACAACCCAAGAAACAAAAATGGTATGCATGGTGAAATAATTGCTCTAAGAAATCCCAGAACAGCTAACTCAAACGTGTACTTCGTTGTGTAAGCTCTGAACTCAAATTTATTCTACTTGGAAGTGAGTGAGCTTATTGCTTTATATACTCCTACTTCAATTTGTTTGGCACCATATTAATGGCGTGCTCTACCTCCAGCGGATTAGAATCCAGGAGGACCACCATTTTAAACATGCAAATCTCTGGTAGCTCCGGTAGGTTAAATTAAATATTGGAGAATTATTTGAGCAGCCACTAGCATGTAGTAGTTATTCACTATTTAAGTACGATCTATATATAAAGTGCTACGTACACGACTTACTTTGCATTGCTTTCATTGTTAGGTTGGCTATTTTAGCATAGGTAACAATTTTAGCATGCAAATTACTGCAAATCAGATTAAAATTTTGGAATTTAGGTTGGTTTTTTTTTTTTTTTACCTTTGAGTCAATTCCTGCTTGCTAGTTTTCCACCTATTTGTTACTGCTTCAATAAATTAGATTTTTCAGGAATTGCGAAGGTGCTACAATAAGTGACGGATTCAGGATTTAAGATTCGAATTTGGGTGCTTCTAGTGTTAAATATCCAAGTTTTTTAGATAGAAGCATAGTGCGAGCTCGCAAAACAAATTTCAGTTTATTCACCGAGACTTTTCGTTGAACACTTGATGACTAATATCAAGAAATTTATCTAGTTTTGTCCATGTAACCTGTCGAGATGTGTATAGCAAATATTACATCAAACACTAAGTAGGTACAAAGGAACTTGTACAAAACATTCAAAGGGTCATCGGAAGACCTTCACATGTATATTATTTGAACTTCGGATGGTCTTAAGACCACCTAAGTACTAGTGTGCATCCTCCTCTAAGTACAGTTTCCTATAAAAAAAAGGTCGTACCCAGTGCACAAGGCTCCCGCTTTACGCAGGGTCTGGGAGAGGTGAATGTCGGCTAGCCTTACCCCCATTTATGGAGAGGCTGCTCCCATAAGTACAGTTTCCTATGTCATAAAATAAAATTCTGCAGCATATATAATGAGGATATCATTTTTTATCAAGCAATAATTGTAGTACGCCTTCAGTATTCTGTCATCCTGGAAGCTGTTGTATCATAAGCGAATTGCAAAGAAAATTTTGCGTGCAAGCAACGATATGTGTTTCCTCTTTTATTGTCATTACGTGACAATATATCTCGCTTTTTTTTATCTCTTGTCACGTAAGAGAGTTTTATCATAAGCCAACTGAAAAGCAGTCTTGGATGCAACCAATGATATATATATATATTTTTTTTTATCTCTCTCATCACGTGACTAGTTATATCATGCTCTTTGTAACTCTCTATTCATGTGACCTATACGGTGATCCCCCAATCTAAGAGGAAATAACAATATTGAACTTCATTTTCTTCTTTATCATTCTGCAGTTTTGCTTTTATTGGTTTAAAAGCTGGACTCTTATAATAAGGTCAATGTCATAGCCATCTGACCTCCCTCATATCCTGCAACACCCTAATTAGTACGTTGATAAATATAGAACTTAAGGACGTCCATCACTCTCTAAATCTATTTATTTATCTAAGTATGTCTTGGCAGGTTTATATATCGCTATGTTAATGTAATTAGTTTTAGCAGCTAAATGAGTCAGCCCTATCTCATCCCAACTATTCGGGGGAAGTTTGATGCAGTTTTAAGCTTTGCCTTACATAGGAACATGATTCATATATTGGTTATAAGAGGGGGCAGAGAAAAGACGTAAAACAGATAAATAAGCCATGTGACCTAAATAAATAAGGTGGGGTTTGATCTATCTACTTCCAAGAGGTGCTTCATATATCATCGTAATGTACATTAAACTAACTGTGAAAATTTTAGGTATATGATCCCTTTTTTAAGACAAAAAGAGGAACTCTCTGAAGCACACTAACAACACAACATTTGCAACGAGTTATGTGGAATTAGATTACCAAACAATGGGAAGATGTCCCTTTACAAAGAAAATGATTTGGGATTATTCAACACATCACATCTGATTAAGATTTGTGGAATAAGAGCCAGTTATTTCATCGTTCGACACAATTAAGACCTTGCTAGATTGTTAGTGATCAAGTTTTTTCAGAAGTCAAATGTGAAGATTGATGCTGATGGAATATAAATGTTGTTTACATGTATCTCTTAGCAGTAACATCAACAGTTCAACATGCATGTACTAGTTTGTCGTTTAAGTGTCACTTAACAGTCGCAGCAAAAGGAGCAACCATTTTGTTTTTTAAGTGCAAAGCAAAGCTGCAAATTGTAAAAGCACTTATCTGTCATCAGCTTCTTCAGAACTCACACACAATCCTTTGGTCTACTGAAACCTCCTCTTACGAATGTGCTTCATTACTGCTTAATGAAAACTCAGATCATAGGCTAGAGCCGTAGTAGAGATTATATCTGCAGCCATGCAAACTTGAGTTCAATAAATTGATGAGGTTAAAATTTCACAGCAACTGGGTAACAAAAGTAAGGCTTCTAACTTTCTAAGTGCAAGCTACAAATCATCATAACCCATATTTGGGCTTAGCCAACTTGATTATAGCAGAGTGCTTCCTCAGTATCCAAGTTCGAATTTCAAGTCTCGTAGTTAGATGAATATTTAGTGTAAAATATCGCTTTGTATATAGAAAACACAAATCACAATAAATTTCTGGTTACAACTGATAATCAAAAACTTTTGAAAGTCATAACAGAATTGTTTAGCCGAGTAAATGAAAACAAATTCATGAATAATTTGGTAAGCTTCTATGTGATACTATATATTATAAAATAAAATTTGCTACAATATTGTCCCCAGCTTCCTCTGCGACAAACCCTTCACGTGCATGGCTTAATTACACAAGCAGCCAACTGGCCAGGTTCCACAGATTCCCAAAGCACTATAACTATAAACCAATCTTTTCAGGCCCATAAATTCCCAACAAGGACAAAGGTAAGAGTATAAAATTCATATCGTTGTAAATAATTAATTTTCTAGATCCCAAGATGCAGTATAAATTCATATTGTAAAATAAATTTGTTGATATTATTTGCCAGTTTTCAGTACTTCATATTCTTGGGATAACTTTTCCAGTAACTCCTTAAATTGATGGCTAGATCGTGGGAACGTATATTTTGTTAACCTATATCAGATGAAGATCTTGATGTAAAAGGAAGAACAGTTTCGGTACAGAGAAGAAGAAGGAAGAATATGTAACTTTGTATATATATTCTTATTGAGCAAGTAATAGAAGGTAGAGTTGTTATTTATACAAACCAATCTCAACTAACTAAATAACACAACTCCTAATTTTATGACAAGTGTCACAATCTAACTCATACTCTAACATTCCCCTCAATTTCATGCTTTGATGAACTAAGCATGAGATTGTTACAATGAGTTTGAAAAAAAGGAGCACTCAACCCTTTGGTAAGTATATCTGCAAATTGTTCTTTTGAAGATACAAACTGCACAAATAACCGTTGTTTGGCCACTCTTTCCCTAATAAAGTGCACATCTATTTCAGTATGCTTTGTTTTTTTATGTTGAACTGGATTGAATGAGAGGGCAATAACTGACATGTTTTCACAAAATAACATTGGAGCTGAAGTTACAGGAACTTGCATAAACACAAGAAGTTGCTTAATCCAATCAATTTATGTAGAAGTGGTTGACAATGCATGATACTCAGCTTCAGTTGATGACCTGGAAACAGTTTGTTGTTTCTTGGAAGACCAGGAAATGGGATTAGAACCAAGAAACACTACCAAACAAGTGGTTGACCTTCTATCATTGGGATCTCCTGCCCAATCAACATCATTGAATGCTTTTAAATTTAAATCTCCTCTGGTGTAGGTAATTTCCAAGTGCATAGTACCTTTTAAGTATCTCAAAATTCTATTCACAACAGTAAAGTGTGCAACCATTGAATTTTGCATAAACTTGTAGACCTAATGCACAGAGATTGCAATATCAAGTCTGCTAAAGGTTAAATATTGCAATGCCCCAACAATGCTTATGTACAAAGTTGGATTCCTATAAGGCTGACTATCATCTTCAAGCAATCTATTATAGGTAAACAAGGAGTATCACATGATTTGGACTTAACCATTTCTATTTTAGACAATAGATCCTGCACATATTTGGTTTGTGACAAGAATAAACCATTTTTGGTCCTGAAATCTGAATACCCAGAAATTAGTGCAATGGACCTAAGTACTTTATCTCAAATTCAGCTGTGAGAGCTTGACTAAATTCTTGAATTGCACTAGTTGCATTGCCTGTAATGATAATATCATCAACATACAATAGAAGAACCACAATAGCAGAATCCACTTGTGTCACAAAGAGAGAGGAATCAGAGTATGTTCTTAAACCCCAGTTTAGGTAGAAATGTAGTGAATCTCTCATTCCAAGCTCCGTGAGCTTGTTTTAAACCATATAATGATTTTTGAAGTTTGCAGACCAATGTAGAATGATTTGGATCCACAAACCTAGGTGGTTGAGCCATATATACCTCTTCTTGAAGAATGCCATGTAGAAATGCATTCTTGACATCTAATTGTCTCAGATTCCAACCAAAATGCGCTGCAAAGGCCACTACAAGTCTAACTGTAGTTGGTTTAACTACATGACTAAAAGTCTCCCCATAATCCAGCCTTGGTTTTTGACTGAATCTTTCAGCCACTAACCTGGCTCTGATACCATGTTAACCTATATCAGATGAAGATCCTGATGTATGTAAAAGGAAAAACAATTTTAGTATAGAGAGAAGAAGAAGAAGGAAGAATATGTAGCTTTGTACATTTTTTAATGAGCAAGTAATACAAGTAGAGTTGTTATCTATACAAACAATCTCAACTAACTAACACAACTCTTAATCTTATGACAAGTATCACAATCTTACTCAATCTAACTCATACTCTAACATATTTATGTTCTTGGTGACGTTCTTTCTTTTTCTAGATATAAGCAATAGTGGGGAGGGTGATTTGATTATTGAACACAAAATCTCGCGTGTGAGGTTAAACATTATTTACCACTTGAGTTACACAAGTTCTTTGTGGTTTTGTTTG